AACCCTAAGCCTTAAGACCATAAAAATCCTAAACCACCAAAACCTTGCACCCTAAAGCCCCTGAACCCTAGTCCCTGCATTCAAAACCCTAAACGCTAAAGACCCAAAACCCTTAAAACCCTAAACTCTAAACAAGCTGGAGTGGAAGGCAGCACTGGAGCCTAAGAGTCATGGTTGGGTGGAGAGTGATGAACCGGTGTTGAATGGACTTGCTGCGTAGCTCCTGAGCCTGCACGACTGAGTGTGGCTAGTAGTGAGGCTGAGGCAGTGACAGGTAGTGAAGAGGTGGGTCTGTAGCCTGCTGTCTGAGTCCTGTTCTTGCTCTTAGTTGAGACCGTAGTTGTAGGGTAGTAGGGAAGTGCCGACCTGAACGTTTTCTACCGTGCTTGCAATGTGCGATGCGCGTGTCTAAACACCCTAAGCATCCTAGACCCTAAGCACTAACACATTAACGGCCCTGAACCCTAACAACCCTAAACCTTTTCAGGGTTTAAGGTTTATAGGGTTTATAGGGTTTTGGATTTAGGGCAGTGGCATGGAACCCAGAAGAGGCTGCAATCGTGTTTGACATGCTGTGGACGAGATACGCTTTTCGTGGCTAGTGAAACATGTTGCCCTAGACCCTGAGCCCTAAACCGCTTTGCTGAAGCAACACCTGGCAGAATCGACTTCGACATCTTGGACACACTTTACGAGCCCTCTAAAGTGGAGAACCTGTTGGCCCTTGTGCAAAGCCCGATTGGTGCCCTTGTGTTTAAATGGTGGTACCAGGGATTGCTGCCAAGCCGTGTAATTTACCTGGACTTGGGTGCTGAGGTTCTACAGGCTTTCCAAACCCAGCTTTTGGAGGGACTCAAATGAGCCAGCAGGCTGAATCGAAAAGTCCGCTACCCTCCTTCGAAAAAAAACTGAACCCTACACCCAAAAAGCCCTAGAAGCTCTACGCCCTGAACATCCTAAAAAGCCTAAAATCCTAAACCCCGAAAGCTGAAAACCCCTAACCCTGAACCTTAAGAACCCAAAAATCATCAATCCTAGACCCTAAGAATCCCAAACACCCTAAAAACCTTAAAAACCTTGAACCGTAAAAACCCCAAACCCTTAGAACTCCAGGCCCCAAAAATCCAAAAACCCCTAAACCCTAAAACCCCTAAATACCCTAAACCCTAAAACCCCTAAACCCTAGAAACCTAAAACGCCTAAACCCTAGAAACCCTTAACCCTGAACACCCTAAACCCAAAAGAACCTTACACCCCAAGCCCTAAAACCCTAGACCTCACACCCTAAAACCCTAAACCCTAAAGCCCCCAAACCCTACACGCTAAACAAAAGCTCTAAACCTTAAAAATCCTCAAACCCCTAAACCTTCAACCCTAAAAACCCTAAACCCAAAAAACTCTAAACCTTAAAAACCCTAAACACCCTAAAACCACGAAGCCTAAAAACCCTAAACCCTAAAACACCTTAAGCCCTGAAAACTCTAAAATCCCTAATCCACCCCAAGCCCTAAAAACCCTAAACCCTAAAAACCTAAGCCCTAAAAGCCCTAGACCCTGAAAATCCTAGATCCTCAACCCTACAAACTCCAAACCACAATCTTCAAACCCTAAAAATCCTAAACACTAAGGACTCTAAACACTAAAAACCTTGAACCGTAAAAAAAAAAACAAACCCTAAGAACCCTAGGCCCGAAAAAACTTTCAAAAGCCCTAAACCCTAAAAATCCCAAACCCTACAACCTAAACGCTAGACACCCTGAAAACCAAAAACCTTAAAAACATTGAAACACCTAAAAGCCTTAAACCCTAAAAACACTCAACCCAAAAAAACCAAAACCCCAAAACCCCAAAGACCCCAAACCCAAAAAACACGAAACCCAAAAACTTAAAACATTGAAAACACTAAAACCCCTATACCCTGCAACTCTAAAACTCTAAACCCTAAACACCCTGAAGACCCTAAATCTTAAACCTCAAAAACCCTCAACCCAAAAGACCCTTGACCCAAAAAGGCTTAAAACCTTAAACAAACCTTAGAGGTGTAATTTGCCGTATGCGTAACCTTTCAAGAGCCGCAGATGTTTTAGTTTGCAGCATTGGAAGGCTTCCAAGAGCTCTAAATGCCGTAATTTGCAGTATTCGTAGCTTTTCAAGAGCCGCAAATGTTGTAATTCGCAGCATTGGCAGGCTTCCAAGAGCTCCAAAAACTGCAATTTGCAGTATTCGTAGCCTGTCAAGAGCCGCAAATGTTGTAATTTGCAGTATTGGCAGGCTTTCAAGGAGCTCGCAACAACAAAAAATACACAACAAAAACAATAAGAATTTAACTTAGCAAAAGCCTTAGCAGAAGCCCCGCCAAAATAGTGCAGTGTTGAACTGTCTTCGTGAGCGAAAGCTGAAGATTACCGCTTGTAGTTGTTATTGAGCTGAAGGCGGCAGATGGACCGCAAGTGATCCTCGTCCTTGGCTGTGCCGTAAGCTGCAATAGTAAATGACATCCACATTTCACAGCCCTACCCTAGCTCTCCTCTGACCTGTTACGCCACGCACCACGAGGCCCAGACGATTTCTGTGACATTCTTGACATTATCGATGGCTATGTGAGCTCATCTAGCGCTTGGCCTGCACTGAATGCTTGTGAGTGATGCGGCACAAGTGCAGTGCAAACATTGTTTTTCCGTCAAATATGGCAGGCATTTGGGCCGACCGCACTCAAGCCAGAGTGAAACAAAAGTGAGCTACTGTACTCCTGTACTCAACCGAAATGAGACCGCGGACCACCGAAACAACATGCAGCCTCCTAACCCCTCCCATGCAGCCGGACTTGCGCCCCAGCGGCTGAAAGAACGGGCTGCTCCCAACAGCATGTGCAACTCATGTCCCACCCAGTTCTCGAATTCATCCACCTCAGTGACATTGGTTCAAAGTGACTTCCTTGCAGGCGCCGAGGTCATGATTCGAAGGGCAAAATTGCGTCAGATGCGAACGGCAAAATTGCGTCAGAACCCGCCACCCCGCCGCGAAGAGACGACAAACCATACACCCAAAACCGCTAGGGCCTGAACCCCCTCAACCCCAAAACATCCAAACACTTAAGCCACCCAGATTTAATTCAATGAACCCCATAATGGCCGTAGAATTCCTGCATGCCATAACCCGGAACGACTACTAAACCATCTTGCCACTAGCGGCGGACAGTCCATAAATCCCCGAAGATCCTACACACCCCCACATCCAAACCGCCTTAATCCTGAATGCTGAAACCTGTGAACCTCAAAGGCCTCCCAACCCTACTAAAACCCATGAATCCGAAAACCGCCAACTGCAATGCCCTAAAACACGTCGGCCCCTAAAACTCTAAAAGACAAGAACCCTTCAGCCATGCCCGATGCACATGCAAAATCATGTTCAGGTGAACTGCAGGTTTGCCACGTGTACCTCCAAAGCGCAACGCATTGTCGTTTACGATAAGCTTGTTTGGCGATCAAAGTGTTTGTTGTGGGCGTGAACGCCGACATTGTGATGCTTACAAAACCGGCACAGGACCTTGCGCAAACGGCCCTGGCCGTCACTAAATGCCCGAACCCATGTTGAAAGCATGGGTGCCCTTGGATGGCACAGGCGCCACCCAAAACATGGTGATGTTACAGAACGGTATATCCGTGGTGTCAGTACTTCCCGGCGGCTTATCATGGTAGTGCTGAAATGTGCTGGATATGTTGCAGCCACCATACCGTCAGATGGCGAAATCATCATTGGCAGCGCTGTTGCCGAAGCGAAAAGTGTTTTCCGATGTTTCTTGTTGTTGAGCGCGTTGTGTTCACGACGGTCGTGACAGTCTATGAGGTGTGCTCAGTTCAGTAGCAGTGCTTTTATCTGCTTGAATCTTCATTGCGATGATTCCTTGTGCCCCAAGATTGAGTAGACAGAAGGTAAACGGAAGCATGGCTATCATGTTAAAGCCGCCACCTCCCGCTCCAACAATGAATAAAGGAATAAGCACTGCCATTTAGCACACTGCATCCATCATCTGAAGGTCAAATCCACCTTCTCTCCACTCGACCTCTTCAATGGCGCCGGGGCTGCAAGCAGCGTTTAGTTTGACATCAGAATCTACATGACCGTGAGATCGTGACGGCGCAAAGCTGAATTCTATGAGTCTTTATGATGCAGGCGCCAAGCGCAACTCCAGCTGAATTTGGCGAGATGGGGCAAGTTCCGCTTTGAGAGGACCCATGTTGCTTGCAACATAATGCACACTGGGAATAAAATCCTGAATATGTCTTGCGGCCGTATCGAAAAACAGTGCGTAACTTCAGAAACGTGCGCACCAGCGCAGGCATTAATTTGCTCGTTCGAGGATTTCTTGCGGCCGCCAAGTTGATTGTGGATTTGTGAAGCTTCATTCAAGTCAATTCATCTTCAATGAAGTCGATGAGGCTGACACGCTGACTGGCGTTCGGTTTACAATCACCGCCTCTTTGTCTTTCTGGCCTGTGTACGCACTACGTGTTGGTAGCATCATGTCTTGTACGTGTTTGATCGTTTGTTGGTTGTTCCCGCCGCGCATGGAGCAGCTTTCAGCGAAACAGGTAGAACACCATGCCGCGCTCGTTTCCTTTTGAATTCGGCTCAGCTTCTCATTCTTCTAGCACGTAGAATGTGCAGTGATGTGTGGGGCGCAAGGAAATCCAGCATTCCGGAAGATTGTTCAGATTTGCTTCAGAAGCATAGCCTAAGTGGTCGGACTGGCAACAGCCTCACTGTCACTGAGCCCTGTCGCTTGAAATGTAGCGCCATTCTGATGTGCTTGTCTCCGGCAGGATTACCATAACACACCATGTGGGCAGCCGCCGCGATCCGGCCGTGCTTGACAAGCTTCCTTTGGATATTGCGGCCAGCTCAGGGTTTTGAAGCGGCATTGATCTTTTGTTGGCTGGTGCCTCGAGGCCGACTGTGCATTGATCCTGTCAGAACGAGAAGATCTCTTGGAGACTGCGATGGATTCAGATGCAAGGTGGCGCTTCATTTGTTTAAATTGCTAACGCCACAATGGAATGCCAGCACCTGAGAGAAGCAGGAATCTTACCATCGCCATCAATCTGAGATATGCACCTTGCCGATCCTTACCTACTTTGCCGGTACAAGGGTAGACGCTAGTAAATGTGCACTTGTCACAGTTTGTTTTGCCAAGGTCCTCGATTGCAGGTCCGATGCAATTTCACAACATCGATTGAAGACATATCGGAAGAAGTGCAAAATTGTCACGGATGCTCGTCCACGGGTTTTCTTTACAGACGTGGAACTTGCAGAAGCATCCATTTGCAAATGCCTGTGCCTGTGCTCAAAGCCAGGAGATTCAGGATCCAAAGAGTGAGATTGTGCTGGCCGAAAACAGCAGCGTCAGGAGCCTCGCTTAAGATCACTTGTGATGGGTCGAAGCCTTACTCAGAGAGTCCAGCATCCATTGCTGGACATTTTCGTACAGGAAAACCGGATCGTTCGTGTTCACATCTGCCAGTGAGACTGGGGTATTCGCGCTCGCGACTTGTTTGCAGCGAAATGAACTTGACTGGAAATGCATCTTGGCAAACCTGCCCTGCAGGCAATCTCCTGTAAGGCAATCTACGATTTGTTCACAAAGCTGATTGATCCTGCCACCAATACCGGCCATGTTGTCGCGGCACCGATTCAGAAGTATGTTCAAGGAGCTCTTCTGGTGTCCTGCTTTTGAGATCCTTGTTGCCGCACCGTTAATCAGATTGCAATCATGGAAATTGTTGCAGGAGAAGAAAAGCTGTCATTCCTTGAATCTGGCTTGCACTGCGCTGTTGTCATGCATTTCGATAGGCCAAGCAATCCTAATCGATTGCCTAGACGCAGTTGGAGCACAGGACCTGTCCGGCCGGGTCATGAACCGATGTTCCGGAACCTTGTTGGGGTCACACGGCGGAAGCGACACGTCCAGCAATTTGCTTCATGTTGACGTCGATTCTTCTTCTGCGTTGAGGTGGCGCCGCAGTGATGAGAGACATCCAGTACTGAATCCCGGCAACAAGGCGGAAATCCAATGGTTTTTGCATAATGCCAATCAATCAGCAGTGGGCAGGACCAGCCTTTGCCTTGGCAAAGCCAAGCAGCAGACGAGCTGATAATCCTACTGCCAGCTTCACAGGCTGGGCTTGAATGAGATTCGGCTTCGGGGGCAATGATTGCTTCTCGTTAATATCAGGCACACGCTGAGATGGAAGAGAAGCTTGACCCGGCCAAGCTGGAGGCCGGCCGCATCCACCTTTAATGAACTTGATCGAACTTGTATACTCCGGTTGTGAAGCATGTCAATCTTGGGACAATTCTCTAGTGTTTTTCTCAGCTTGTTGCTTCGCAGGAGGCTTCCGAAATAGCCAATAGACTGCCATCAAGACGCTTGGCAATGAAAGCAGGAACTTGCTTCGGCCTAAACCCTAAGCCCTGGTCACTTCAGGTTGCTCGCAGGCATCCTTGAATTCCGTCGAGGAGCCCAAAACACCTGGGAGCCGAAGAAGCATCAGCGACCTCGGCATCCAGGTTCAGATTCTACTTGTGGATTGGGGCAGGATATTCGGTAGTCTCCATGGGGTCCCCTAATCTTTACAAACCCCACGTCATTTTCTTTCTGGAGGCTGAGAGCTGGATTCCTGGGACTCTGAATTGGCGGTCTGAGGACGCATCTCCCCCAAGAAAAAGGTATCCCCAAAGAAAGCATGGAATCAGTGCATCAAGCGCATATGCCATGATCTAATAATTAGGTTATATTTATATTATTTTGAGGTACAGATTAAGGTATCTAAGGAAATACAGGTTATATCCTATAGTTCTATCTACGACGGATTATTCATGACGCTCTCCAATGTAAATGTTAATCAAATAGTTCTTTGAATGATTGATTCTATTGAAAACAAAAAATCAGGTTATATAAATCATTCTTATCTTAGTCTAAGTCTAATTAAAATGATAGACTGCAGCTATAACGAAGACATGTCTTGCCGCTCTAGAATGTCAATATGAAGCCCTCAATATTACGGCGCGGCCTTTTGCGGTTATTTCGCTCGCGCGCGGCATAGGGCTCACCTTTTAAATGCCTCCTGCGGGCTCCCTAGAGGTTTTAAAATCTCGGAGATTTTAGAGCCCTTCAGAAAAGCTAAAATCTCCGAGATTTTTGATGTCGGCGCGACGAAAAATCTCGAAAATTTTTGGTCGCGCGGCCTTTGCCTCCAGAGTAGTTTTCTGCGTGATCGCGTGATTGATCTCTCTTTGGCTGTCTGCGCGGCTGCTCGGCGGAGCGCTTAGACTCGGGACGAAAAAGAAAATCTTTTAGAATTGATAGGTTGGCCGTATCTGTCTACAGGGATTTATACATTCTCCTGAGTCGCTGCGGAGATAGCCCAGGAAAGATAAATGAAGCGGAATGATCGGGCAGGATGGGGGGGGGGGCCGCGCGATCCGAGGACTCCCGAGATTTCGAATTATTTCTGTCTTTTTTGATGCTTGCGTGGGGGTTTGGGATAGATCCGGCCGGGGCGGAGATGTAAAATCTATCAGAATCTATTAGGGTGGCCGAATATTGATTACATTTATCAGGGTAAATAATCATTCTTATTAAATATATTAGAAATGAATATATTCTATATATAATTTCTATAATTAAATTGACAATAAGATCATATTCTATATATAGATCTTCTATATTAATCCATAAACCTATATATATATATTCTTTCTTTCAAGATGTGATGGTTTATAATGATCCTCATATCTAATAGAGAATCTATCTATATATAAAGATCATATCTGATGAAAATATAGATCTTTTTTCAATTATGATATATCCGCTTAAGAATAGATTTCATTTCTTGGAGGATCTTGAATATAGGTTGATATCTTATAAAGAAAATATCTAATTTTAGATTATATATCTTGATCTATATATATAGATAGATATATATAAAAAGCAATTTGGGGTTAAGATCGATATTTTGAGAATTACGTGAGATAGCCTTGAAATTTAAATTATGATCTGATTATATGGGGGGTTATCAATTATATTTTTTGGGGTCTCTATTATAATACGGAACCTAATATTTAGGACGCCCTAAAAGGGAATATAATTTTGAGCCCCTATAATCGTGATAATTTATTTTACCATTATTTTTCTCTATTATCTATAAGATAATTCTCGAATTTCTATATAGATATATAGAATCTTCTATGAAATTTAATTTGGTTTCTTTATAATGACGAATGCAGATATAGTTCATTCATCATCTTTATATAAAAATACAATCTTTTTTGAAATATCTTATTTTTTATGATTTAATTTCTTTTAGAAAGATCTATATAATATTAATGATCTTCGTCATTTATAGAAAATATCATTTTTCTATTCAATATGAGGATCCTAATCTATGAATATATCTACTAGATGAGAATGATAAATTTTCATCAAAATGAGGTTGATAAATAATTGAACCATTAATTTAAGATATTATTCGGATTCATTGATATGAATGTTTAGAATATTATTATTTATTATTCTCAAAAATTGGTAATCTTGAATTATTCTAATTAGATGAATATATATTTCTAGATCTATTCATATCTAAAATGATTTTTGAAAATTTCATATATTTTTCATCTATTAGTATTCGTTTTCTGAATATTCATTCTATTGAAATACGGATGATTAAGAATCTGAATATTTCTCTTGAGAATATTTTATTCTGAACCTATCTTTTTCTTTCTCTTCGTCTTGATTTGGAGAGATTTCTTCTGAATCTATCCAGAATCTCTTCAAAATCTCTCTTTATCATTCTTATTGTATTCTGATATATATTTGGAAAAAGATCAGGATTATGAAAGATAATAAAAATTCTGGATTTCGAATAAAAGATAGAGCGATTATCATCAATGATATTATTTAAAAGGGAGATGACAATGAGAATCTTATTATTTCATCATGATAAGAATATTGATTATAGAATGATATCTCATAATATTTGATTAATCTGAAAGCCTTGATATTATTTTCAGATAATCATTCGAATAATTCATATCTATTCGAAATAAGATAATGAAAATCGAAATATCAAATATTCAATTCATTCTATAGGAAAAATATATTGATAATATATATCTTCAATTATCTTCATCTTCAAGATGAAGATAGAGATATTCATCTTTATATATATATATATTTCGTCAAATTTTCTCATAAATGAGCTTCTAATATTCTTTTTATTCGTCGATTGTTATATATTAATATAGATATATAGAATCTTAATCTATGAGCTAAATTCATCTATTCGTCTATCGTATTCTATATCTTAATAAGAATATAGATATATGAAATGATAATCTATATAGTAGAAGGGATCTTTTATATACGATATCTCGTTTTTCAAAATATTTCAATATTATGGCGCGGCTGCTTGCGGTCATCTTGCTCGCGGGCGATCTAGTTGGATTCCTTAGGGATTCTAAAATCTCGGAGATTTTAGAGTCTTTCGGAAAAGCTAGGACCTCTAAAATCTCCGAGATTTTTGGTGTAGGCAGCGCGATCAACAATCTCGGATTTTTTGGTCGTGCGGTCCTTTCCTGCGGAATGGTGTTCTGCATAATTTATCTTTCTTTAATTATTTGCGCGGCTATTCGGCAGAGGGCATAGATCCCTGGGACGGAGAATCTAAATCTTTCAGGATTTATCGATAGGTCGTATCTATCTACGGGGAATTATACGCTCTCCAGAGCCGCCGCGCAGATAGCCCAAAAGAGATAAATGAGAAAGAAAAAAATAGACCGGATATGGGGTCTACGATCCCGACCAAAAATCTCCCGAGATTTCGAAAATGGTTCTCTCTCTTTGGCTCTCTGCGGCGGCTTGAAGGAGCGTATAGAGCCGGGGCAGATATCCGAAATCTTTAAGCTTGCCTCCGGAGCGGTCTTCCGCATGATTTATATCTCTTTAGCTATTTCTATTGCTGCTAGGCGGAATGCAAAGACCCGAGACGGAGATCTAAAATCTTTCAGGATTTATCGGCAGGCCGTATCTATCTATGGGGATTTATGCGCTCCCCCGAGCCGCCGCACAGATAGCCCAAGAGAGATAAATGAGATGGAAAGATTGGATTGGATACGGGGACGACGCGATCAAGAATCTTTCGAGATTTCGAACTATTTCTCTTTCGTTGATTGTCTGCGCGTCGGCTCGTTGGAAGGTGTAGACACGGTGCGGAGATCTAATTTTTTTCAGAATCTATAGATTAGTCGTCTTTATCACGTGTAATCTTTTATATTCATCGTATATCGGATTTCACGCGCGGTCTGATATCTTGATTTTTCATCGGATTTTGCCGATGCGGATATTCTCAAATAAATATTTTCCGCTGCTGCAGACAGCGGGTCAGTTTTCCGCTGCTGCAGACAGCGGGTCAGTTCTAATATATCTAATTATCGAAAAGATATTAATTATTATTCTCATGATTGAAGATTCGATAGAATATCGTACGATATGAAAGAGACTTTAGATATGAATGATAAAATATAGATTGAAAATCAGATAAGATAAATAGAAATATCAATTATGAAATTAATTCATATTTCTATATCTATGAATTGAATTATATATCAAGAATTGAAATCTCTTTCATATATATCATCAAAATGAATAATTTTATATCGAATAAATGAATCTAGAATCGATCATATTATCCAATAGATGATGAATAAATCAATAATATCTATATAAACGAATATCTCATCAATTAATCATATAATATAGATATATCCGGAATCTATCGTCTTTATAGAATCATAAATCAAAATCATAATAATCTTAAATTATAGGTCAATATAATTTCAAATCCTTTTCATATTTAAGAATGAATATATATTTGGGATATTAGACGATATATTAATTTCGAATATATAGAAATATAGGTATCCATTCCCCAAATCATCCCTCATCTCTCTTCAAATATCTCCAAAATAAAATATTCTATTAGAGATTTCGAATCAATAATGCCTTCGAGCATTCCAATTATTCTTAAGATTTCTGTCCTCATTCTCATATAAATAATTCGTATGAATTCGTAATGCTCTAGATTAATAAAAAGAATAATAGAATTGATCCGCTGCTTATAGCCGAAAAAATAT